CGCAAAGGACCAAAGGTGGGAAGATGACTGCACATCCAAGGAAGAAAGAAAGCCAACATGGGCCGGGCACGGTGGCTCACGCCTGTAATCCCAGCACTTTGGGAGGCTGAGGTGGGTGGATCTCTTGAGCTCAGGAGTTCAAGACCAGCCTGGCCAACATGGTGAAACCCTGTCTCTACCAAAAATATAAAACATTAGCTGGGAGTGGTGGCACGTGCTTCCAGTCCCAGCTTCTTAGGGGGGTCAGTCAGGATAATTGCTTGAACCCAGGAGGTGGAGGTTGCAGTGGGCTGAGATCATGCCACTGAACTCCAGCCTAGGTGACAGAGCAAGACTGTCAGAAGAAGGAGAAGGAGAAGAAGGAAGAGGATGAAGAAGAGGAGAGGAGGAGGAGAGGAGGAGGAGGAAGAGGAGGAGGAATTTGGCAGCAAGGAGTGGAGGAGTGACTCACGGAGCCTGTCTTTTTAGGCTCGGGTCTGATTTCAAAGGCTCTTCCCCCATAATCCCAACAGTCCCAAGATTACACTCATCCACATGGGTGATATTGTCTATGATACACACAGGAAGAACAGTGAGTTCAAATGAGATCAATCACTCCTGGAAAATGAATTTCAAATAAAGCGGGGAATAGCCATTCACATTTCAGAAGGATTTTGCAACTCACAGACTCTCCATAGCGCTGGAATGAGAGAGTCATTTGCTTGTTTTCTCATAAGTATTTACTGAGCACCTATTAGAGGCTCGGTGGTGTGGGACACAATGATGAGTGAGTCCTACCTTCTCAGGGCTTCCACTCTAGGGGAAGGAGCAAGGGATACATCCATTAAGTACCGTATGTGACATAGTGCAGTTCGCATTGCAGTAGCAGTAGAAGCGTTGGCCCCTCTGAGAGCCCTGGAGAACTCCCCCTCCATCTACTCCGGTGGCATGGAAAGTTCACAGGGGCCACGCTTGGCAGCAAGTGTTTTCCATGCTTTGCTTCTGATGACCAAGATGCCATGGTGCTTTCTGTAGCATTTAGCTGTATGGAGCTCTGAAACTCTTGTGTCTTGGGGGAAGAAAGGGCCACTTTTTCTTTTTTTTAAAAGACAGAGTCCTGCTCTTTCTTGCCCCGGCTGGCATGTAGTGGTGCAGTCTTGTCTCACTGCAGCCTCCACCTCCCGGGTTCAAGTGATTATCCTATCTCAGCCTCCTGAGTAGCTGAGATTACAGGCACCTGCCACCACACCAGGCTAATTTCTGTATTTTTAGTAGAGATGGGGTTTCACTATGTTGGCCAGGCTGGTCTCGAACTCCTGACCTCAGGTGATTCACCAACCATGGCCTCCCAAAGTGTTGGGATTACAGGTGTGAGCCACCGAGCCCGGCTGAAATGGCCACTTCTAATTCCTACCTATGTCTCTTGCTGCTAATTAAACATCTAAGTTTGGATTTGAGGGGGATGCTATCTGGGGACCATTCCTCCGGAGTGGAGTGAGCCTGCATTTCTGTCTTCACCTTAGCCCTGAGCTATGGATCAAACCTCGTCTGCCTGCAGCTCTGTGCCTGATCCTGAGGGACTCCTTCATTTGCACAAATGAAATGTATATAGGAATTGTGTGTCAACTTTTAATGAGTCCCCAGATGTCACTGAGAAATCCCATGGCTTATTCACTAATGACAATTAGAATTGGCTTCCCAGGCATTGTTATGACAGTAATTTGGTAGATTGTGCCGGTATGTGTTCCATTGGGCTGTTTGAGCCAGTTAAGGCCCTAACCAGGTGCGTCTCTGATGAGTCCTCCAGGAAAAGTGTCCAGGGGCTTTGATCCATGAGCATGGGGATTTTTGGAGCAGGGCTGGGGGTGATGGGTTCAGATGGATTCTATTAATTGCTTGGTATGTGGACCCTATGACATCACTCCAACTGAATTCTCCGGTAGAAGGGAAGGGAAGGGAAGGGAAGGGAAGGGAAGGGAAGGGAAGGGAAGGGAAGGGGAAATGTTTACTGAATTATGACTAGGCTCTCTTCAAGCAGGTGTCTTAGATGGGCCACCAGAAGCAGATTGAGTTAAAGAGCCTAGTGCTGGGACTATTTTAAGTGTGATCCTTAATCCAACGTGGGGCAGTGCACTGAGGACCTCTAGAGGACAGTGTAGGAAATGCACTGTTATTCCAGGAAAAGGGCTGGTTGGGGGTGAAGGATTCACCTGCCAGCTCCCATCAGTCCTTGGTTCAGAACCGATCCATAAGGGGTTAATTTCCCAACACTTCTAGGTGTGTCTGAAAGGCAGAGTGAGATCCAGCTATAGGAAGCCCTGCAGCAAAGAGACCTTGGCAGCTGGAAGACAGGAGCAAATATTTCAACAGCAATATCCAAAGAGATGCAGGCGGAGCTCTAACAGAACCTACTACAATTGGATGAAAGAACAAGAACAGACAGGGCAAGACCGATCTCTGCCTTACGGAGCTTGCTGCTCGATGAAGAAGACAAACTATTGCATAGCTCATCTGCTTTCAATAAACCAGGAAACAAACATGCTCTCAGAGCAATAAAATGCTATGACCAAAAGATCATGGGATAAAAATTATGTGGGTTGGAGGTGGTGTTTAGATAGAGGAGGAACAGCCTGGATGAGGTGACATTTCAGCCAATCCTGGCATCAGAGGAGACTCAGTCACAAAAGAGTTGGGAGAAAAGCATTCCAAGCACAGGGAACCACAAATCCAAAGGCCCTGGGACGAGAACAGACTGAGTCTGTTAGGAAATCAGAACTGAGCCCAGAGTGGTGGAGTGCAGCCAGCCAGGGAGGGAGAGCAGCCGGGAAGGGGGTTTGAGGGGTCTGCACGGATCAGTGGTGCCAAGTCCCTTATGCTATGAAAAGAGATCAATGTTTGCAGCAGGATCTTATTGGGAGATACTAACCGAGGTTTCCCTGATCCTCCCACCTTCTTGCACCTCCAGGTGCCCCCACCGCTCTCAGAAAAAAAAAAAAAGTGCCTCCTATCCACACAGCAGAGAGGGCAGGCAGAGCTCATCCAATAAGCACATGTTAGAATTCTTCAGACAGGCGCGGTGGTTCACGCCTGTAATCCCAGGACTTTGGGAGGCTGAGGCAGCCAGATCACTTGAGACCAGGAGTTGGAGACCAGCCTGGCCAACATGGTGAAATCCCATCTCTACTGAAAATACGAAAATTAGCCATGTGTGGTGGGTGGTGGCTGTAGTGGGAGACTGAGGCAGGAAAATCGCTGGAACCCAGTAGGCAGACGTTTCCGTGAGCTGAGATGGTGCCTCTGCACTCCAACCTGGGTAACACAGTAAGACTCTCTGTCTTAAAAAAAAAAAAAGTGGGACTGAGAGGAGTGGCTCACACCTTTAATCCCAACACTTTGGTCAGGAGTTTGAGGTTGCAGTAAGCTATGATTGTGCCACTGCACTCCAGCCTGAGAGACAGAGGGAGACTCTGTCTCAAAAAGCCAAAAAAAAAAAAAAAACCCAAGAAACAAACAAACAAAAAAGCAAATGTAGGCTCCACTCGTGAAAAGTCTCACCTATTGTCTGTAGTCTGTAGGGGTGCCCAGTTGTCTGATGTGCCTAGGGCTGAAACCTGCTTTGAAAATCATGTTCTTGATAAGGCATGACCTCTGATGCCAAACTGCTCAGATTCACTCCCAACTCCCCACTTCACCGAGTGACCTTGAGCAAGTGAGTTCACCTCCAATCTTTAAGATCAGTGTAAGGATGAAATCAACATTTACCTGGGGGGAGCTGAAATGTCACCTTCTCCTTTCTCAGTGATCTGCTTCTGTTAATACAACCAAAACATTCATGTCTGTGGAGTTTCCATACCACACCTGTTCTATGAACACCTGTATCTTACATGAATATTTGCACATGTTTGCTGTGAAAATGAGATCTGTACCCCACAAGTTACTTGATGAATAATAACTCAATTTATTACTAATAGTCATGGTATATGAAGATAAGTCTTACAAAGTGAGACAAAGCACTTTTATTTTCTAACATAATGTCTTTTTTAAAAATTAAGACTGGGGCTGGGCGCGGTGGCTCACGCCTGTAATCCCAGCACTTTGGGAGGCCAAGGCGGGTGGATCACGGGGTCAAGAGATCGAGACCATCCTGATCAACATGGTGAAACCCCGTCTCGACTAAAAATACAAAAAAATTAGCTGGGCATGGTGGCGCGTGCCTGTAATCCCAGCTACTTAGGAGGCCTGAGGCAGGAGAATTGCCTGAACCCAGGAGGCGGAGGTTGCGGTAAGCCGAGATCGCGCCATTGCACTCCAGCCTGGGTAACAAGAGCGAAACTCCGTCTCAAAAAAAAAAAAAAAAAAAAAAAAAATTAAGACTGATTTGAACACTTGGACTGATGGATACATAGATAATACACATGTTGAAGACCACAAAATAATGTTTCCTAAGATGATTTAATGTCATGGAAAGATGCTCACCATATAGTATGTGAACAACCCAGACAGAAAAAAAAATATGTGAGATAAAATAACATTTTTTCTGATTGAGGTAAAATTCACATAACACAGAATTCACCATTTCACAGTGTTCAGTCCAACAGCATTTAGTGCACTCACAATGTCATGCTACCTTCATCACTATCTGGGTCTGGAACATTTTCACCGTCCCAGGAGGAAACCCTGTCCTGATCAGCAGGTCCTCCTCAGTCCCACCTCCCCACAGCTCCTGAAAACCATCAATCTGCTTTACATCTCTTCACATTGGCCTGTTCTGGAAATTTCAGCTAAAAGAATCATACACTATGCGACCTTTTGCATCTGATGCCTTTCATTCAGTATCATGTATTCAAGGTTCATCCACAGTGTATGGATCAGTACTTCATTCCTTTTTATGGCTGCATAGTATTCCATTGTATGGATGGGCCACCCTTTGTTTATGCTTTCATCTGGTAATATATACATTGGGGTTGCTTTCAGCGTTTGGCTGCTGTGAATCGGGCTGCCATGAACATTCACGCACAGGCGTCTTTTTGTTTGAACACCTTTCTCAATTATTTTGAGTATATATCTAGGATGGAAAGCTTTACAGTGGAATAGAGTCATACGGTAATTGTATGCCCCACTTCTGATGAATCAGGGGGCGTTTTAGGAAGGGTAGAGTAGGTCTCTGCAGACCTCAGCTCAGGGGCTCCACACGCAGCCAAAGTCCGCCCTCCGCACGCAGGACCAGCTCCGGCTTCCTGCGGGGCTCGGTGTGGTCCAGCAGGACGCGGAAGCGCAGCAGCGTGAGCGCCAGCACCACCTTCATCTCCGCCATGGCGAATGCCTGCCCGATGCAGTTCCTAGGGGAGGGAGGTGGGAACTCACACTGCAACCAAGAACCCCATGCTGGCCCCATCAAGCCGGGAACCTGGCCTAGGTCAGTCAATTCCACCTAGATCGGCTTGAGGAACAGAGGCTGGGGGAGGTCTACATGCCTGGAGTCCCATGTGGGCTTGCATATCCTGCAGGCCTAGCCCAGAGCCAGCCCCCAGCCCAGACCAAGGTGGGGTGGGAGGGGACTCTGAGCAACCCACAGGGCTTCCTAGCACCAACCCAACCCTATTCTATGGACCTTTTCCCGTAAACTCCAGAGGCGGGGAGGGAAGGAGAGCTGGAACTCGGACCATCCGCAATGTCCTCCTTTTCCCCACTGTCATGCCCAGACCCCCGCACCCATCACCCTGTCCCTACCTCAGACACAGGCCGCCCTTACCTGGGCCCTGCCGAGAAGGGAATAAAAGCCAGAGGTGACCTCTCCTTGCTGTTTTCTGGGTCAAAGCGGAAGGGGTCATAGACCTGGAGGTGAGACCAAGGAGGCTTGCTGGGTGGGGACTCCCAGGACCGCCAGCCTTGGGGAGACAGACAGTTGTGTGTGTCTGGGAGGGAGGTGATGTTGGATTCTCCTGATCAAAACCCTGCCCCCTCCTCTAGGAGCCTTGAAATGGACAAAAACGGGGGAGGGGGGAGGCGGGAGGGGGCGGGGAGCACCTCAGGGTCCGGCCACACAGTTGGGTTGTGATGGGTTCCCAAAACACTGATGAGGCAGATAACGCCTGTGGGAGAGAAGAGGGCAGTCAGGACAAGGCTCCCTGCCTGAGGGGCCCGTCCTCCTACCCAGGAGACTCCTCTCCCCGAGGCTGTGGGCACCTTTAGGGATGACCCGGCCGTCTGGGACCACAATGTCCTGTGTGACATGGCGGGAGATGACTGGGACCGGGGGATGTAACCGCAGGCTCTCCTTCACGCACATGGTCAGGAAGGGCAGCTGTGCCAGGTCATCCCTAGGGAAACACCCAGCCCCAGTCATCATCGAGGGAGCCAAGACACAACTCTACAGCTTCTCTGTGTGGAAGTGAGACCTTTTCTCCCTGTCACAAAATAAACTTTTAGAAAGAATTGTTACAAAGTCACAGGAATAAAAATAGTGTGACACTGTTGCAAAAACAAGAAAATAGACCCATGGAACAGAACGGAGAGCTCAGAAAGAGACGAGAGTAAGTGAAAACTTTCCATTTGTTCAAGAGAGCCCCTGCCCAAAACAAAATCCTGGGAAACTGATGGATTTCACTGTTGTGAAAGAAAAGTATGAACCAATTCAACTTCACAGAAGTTGAATGTGCTCAAGGTAGTAGTTTTTGGAGATAAAGGATAGTAACCAAAAGTACCCTCCGAAAGCTAAAAGGCAGTATTTTGCCACACAAGACAGAAAAAAAAAAAAAATCTAACTGATTTTATGAGACCAACATCATCCTGATACCAAAACTTGGCAGAGACACAACTAAAAAAGAAAATTTCAGGCCAATATCCATGATGAACATTGATGCGAAAATCTTCAGTCAACCGAACCCAACAGCACATCAAAAAGCTTATCCATCACGATGAAGTCGGCTTCATCCCAGGGATGCAAGGCTGGTTCAACATATGCAAATCTATAAACGTAATCCATCACAATTCTAACACACCATTCTTAAAAGTAAATATGTTTAAAGAATCAAAAAAAAAAGTGAAATAATAAGGGAACCACTTCCATAAAAAGAAAACACGTAACGTCAACATGTGCAAGAGATGTTCAACCTCACTCTTATTTAAAACAATGTTCATCAAAAGGAGAAATACAAAGATTGGCATATATTTTAAAATTTAATAAAACATCAAGTATTGATAAAGTTATGGGAAAGCTTGCGCCATCAAATTCAGCTAATAGGAAAGATTTGCAATGATAATTAAAATCGTACAATGCAAATGGTCTTCGATTCAGCAATTGCACTCAGAGAATCTGTCCTGCAGAGATGCTTATACATGTAAGGAATGGTCACTGTGCAGATAGGCTGACTACCTCATGTCCACTTTTAGCAAAAGGTTGGGAACAAGCCACATATACACTGATGGGAAGAGGTTTAGGTAAGCATCCACACAATGGAATACTATATAGCTGCAAAAAAGGAGGAAGTAGGGATCACATGCCACAGGCTAGAAGGCAAATCAGTGCAGACATTCTGGAAGGCCAAATGGAAATATCTACTGTAATTGAAAACGTGTATGTGTCTTCAGCATAGGAATGGATTGAATAAAAAAAGGAATCAAATATGCAGCACTCAGAAAAAAATAGCATTAAGATACATTGTTGAGTGAAAAAAAGTTACATATGTATGTGTAAAAGGGCAAAAAATATATGGATATATATTTATGAAAATGAATGATTTATAGAAAGATGATGGATAAATGATACATACATACATATATACATAGATGAAAGATATGGAGACACATAGATATAGATAGATAGATGACAGAGAGATAATAGGTAGATAATAGATATACAAAGATAGATAATAGATACATAGATACATAGATAAAAGACAGATACAGAGATATGTAGATGATAGATATATAGAGAGAAAGATAATAGATAGATGCATACACAGATGATACAGAGATACATACATGATAGATAATAGATTATAGATATAGAAAGATAATAGATATATTGATAATAGAGATATGTAGATGATAGATAGATGATAGATGTAGAGAGATACATAGTAGATACACTGATGATACAGCGATACACAGATGATATAGGTAATAGAAACATTTGTATGTTTCTTAAATGAAAACATACAAATGGCAAACAGGTAGATGGAAAAAAGCCCAATGTCACTAATCATCAGAGAAATGGAAATTAAAACCACAATGAGATAGCATCCATCTATCTATTATCTGTCCATCATCTATCTATTTACTCTCTTAGCAATTTCAACTAATACAATACATTGTTCGCAACACACTGTCTCACATAAGCCAGGCTCAGAAACACAAACACACGTGATCTTACTTATCTTGGGACCTAAAATAGTTGAACTCATAGAAATAGGAGTAGAATGGTGGTTACCAGAGGCCAGGGTTAGGGGAGGGACAGGGAAGGGGGAGATGACAGTCAAAGGGCAAAAGCTTCAGTTAGACAAGATGGGTAAGTTTTTGAGACCTGCTACACAGCGCAGTGCCTTTAGTGAACGATGTATTGTATTAGTTGAAATTGCTGAGAGAGTAAATTTCAAATGTTCTCAACACAAAAATGATAAATACATGAAGTGATGGATTTGTTCATTACCTTGATTTAATAATTTCAGGTTGTATACATGCATCATAACATCACATTGTACCTCTAATACATATTATTAAAATGTACCAATGAAAGAACAAATTTAAAAACAAACTATTTTTCCAAAACTCATATTTTGAGAAAAATAAGATCTCAGATATAATGTGCAGACCTGCCATCTATTTCATAGTTTTATTTACAAAGAAAAATTCAATGTGTGTTCACATAAATAAAAAACATAGTGTGAGTTCATATAAATGTGGGCAGCAAAATAGCCATTTTCTGGAAGAATACACAGAACACTATTGACTGGAGTCACTGCTAAGGTGACTTCTTAATAAGAAGGCTCATTTTTATGATAAAAATTTTTAAACCCTTTCTTTTAACCAGATGCATCATTCTGCTTGAAATCTGGGTTTTACACTCCAGGACATGGCTCTGGCCAGAGATTTTCTAAGTAAGACCTCAAAAGCACAAGCAATAGAGAAATCAGATCACATCAAGGCAAGAAGCTTCTACGCAGCAAAGGAAACAATCAACAAGGTGAAGAATCAACCCACGGAATGGCAGAAAATATTCGCAAATCACCCATCTGACAAGCGAATAATAACCAGAATATATAAGCAGCTCTAACAACTCAATAGGAAAAAAAAAATCTGATTTAAAAATGGTCAAAAGATCTGAATAGACATTTCTTAAAAGAAAACATACAAACGGCCAACAGGTAGATTGGGAAGTTTGTTTGCTGAACGTGTGCTATGTGGCGTTATCTGTCCTCACATATCATCACCAATTCTCTCAGCAGCCCAGTCTTTCACTCCTAAGGGCTTGCAACCTTTCCCCTGACAGTCGGGCGGGTATTAAGCCCTGCCTGTGGTCCTCTGCTCCTATTCCCACTAAGCAATAGTGGCTGAATCAACTCTTCCTCCCCTCCCCACCTGGAGAGCAGAGCCAATGAGAGGGGCTCAGGAACAGCCACCAGCACCCTCACTCACCATTCAATCTCTTTAGGCTCACGGTCCTTCAGAAGCTCTTGCACCTCCTGCCTGCAGCGCTCCTGGTATTCTGGGTGCTTTGCAAGGTGGTAGAGGACCCAGGAGAGACCACTGGCCGTGGTGTCATGGCCTGAGGGGCAGCAAGACAGGATTGGGTTTCTGGGCTGCTTCAGCACCTGAAGGTGGACAGCGCCCACACACTGAGGACCTCAGGGAGGATGGGGGAAGGGGCATGGGAAGGCTGAGGGGGTCGAGCCACCACATTCCTGGAATGGAGAGATCCTGGCCCCCCCATACCCCCACACTGGGACTCTCACCCTCAAACATGAAGGTGTCAGCTTCTGCTCTTATGTCTTCATCAGACAACTCCTTCCCATCTTCATCCTGGAAAGAAGGCAATAATCCCCCCCAAGCACCCCACCATAAAAAGTCACACCAGCTCTGAAGGCTCTTGAGTCTTATTGAGACAATCTCTGAAGATTCATCCTCTTTCCAGAAACCCCAGTCCATCTTGCACTCCTAGACCCCTCTTGGTCGCCATGGCCAGAGCCCCCACTGCATGGGCTTCCTCCCTGGCTTCCTTGTCTCCTCTTGGGTCCCTATTGGGAAGACTCAATGATCCATGAATGCTTTCCTGTTTCCGCATGATGACAACTTTCTGAGAAAAGGTTACTGGCAACCTGAGTTACAGGATAATTAGATGCCAATTTGCCTTGGAAATTAGAGATTAAGTATTGCTCCAAAGATATTTGCTCACATTCTAGAGTGGTAAATCCAGAGAATCTTATCTCCCTGGAGACATTTGGGTTGTAAGTCTATGGACTACTTGGGGGATGGAGAGTCAGTGCCACAATTCTACTGTGGCTGATAGTATTGCTGTGAGCAAGACATCGGCTGCTCTGATCCAGAGGTTTAATGCATCTGTCACGATAGACATACACATAGACACAGACACACATAGACAAAGGCACAGACTTAGAAACCGACACAGACACACACATACACATAGACATAGACACACAGACACACACGCACACACATGGACAAAGTCATAGACTTAGAAACTGAGACACACGCATACACATAAACATAAACACAGACAAAGACATAGACATAGAAACACACAGACACAAATAAACATAGACAAAAACAGACACAGGCACAAACAGAGATATAGATGTGGCACTGACACAGACATAGCCGTAGATGAAGACATAGAGATAGACACAGAGAAAAAGCACGGACACAGTCATACACTGAGACAAACACACAAACACATTGACACAGACACGGACACAGATGTGCACATAGACATAGACATGGATGATAATATAAACAAAGACAAAGACATCAACATAGACACAGAAAGACAGGACAAGCCAGGCACGATGGCTCACGCCTGTTATCCCAGCACTTTGGGAAGCCAAGGTGGGCAGATCACCTGAGGTCACGAGTTCAAGACCAGCCTGACCAACATGGAGAAACCATGTCTCTACTAAAAATACAACGTTAGCTGGGCACGGTGACTCATGCCTGTAATCCCAGCACTTTGGGAGGCCAAGGTGGGCAGATCACCTGAGGTCAGGAGTTCAAGACCAGCCTGATCAACATGGATAAACCATATCTCTACTAAAAATACAAAATTAGCTGGGCATGGTGGCTCATGCCTGTAATCTCAGCTAGTCAGGAGGCTGAGGCAGGAGAATCACTTGAACCCAGGAGGCGGAAGTTTCGGTGAGCCAAGATGGCACCATAGCACTCCAGATTGGGCAACAAGAGCAAAACAAAAAAAAAAAAAAAAAAAAAAAGAAGAAAGAAAGAAAGAAAGAAAAGAAAACTCAGGACAAAGGCATAGAACAGATAAAGACAAGGATGCAGATACAGACAAAGACATATGATATGGTCAATGACAAAGGCAGACATAAACATAGCATAGTCATAGAGACAAACTCAAACCGACAAAGATATAGAAAGACACAGGCACAACATAAACATAGACCCAGCCACAGATGTAGATGTAGATGTATAAATTAAAATGTGGCCAGTTCGCTCATTAACTTGTAATAGAGCAAACTCTCAGACTTGTTAGTTTCCTGCTAGGTGCACTCCACAGAGTCATCTCTAAAACCTGTCTCTGAAGTGTCCCTCGCTTCCTCAGTCACCTTCCATGGCTCCCCAGTGCCCTTTGGATCAAGTTCAATTCTTTCATGTGACATTTCGCATAAAGCTCCCTTCTGCTTCTGGAATTCAGATCCCAGAGAAGCCCACCTTGCTCAGCAGGAGCACATCAATGAAGTCCAGAGTCTTGGACTTGGCCTTGGCCTGGAGGAAGTCGTCAACACCCTGGCTGGGGAGGGTGCGGCGCCGCTCCTGGATGACGGCGTCTGTGAAGTCGTGCACCAGGCGGCAGGCCCTGCGGAAGCGTCGCCCATCGGGGGTGAGATAATACAGGAAGTCTAAGTGCAGGAGGGTCTCATGATGTCTTTTTGACACAAGGGCACTGAGCTCCAAGATGGCGGCGATGTATTCACTGGGCTTCCTGCAGGATAAGGGCGGAAAGGGAGGCAACAATTTAACACACCTGAAACCCCAGGAGCACCTCCCACCAGCAGCCGGGAGCTACCTCCTATCTGCAAACACAGTATCAAGGAACAGATGACCCCTCCCATACAGGGTGGGGATCAGCATGAGACTGACCCTCCAAGCTCTCTTCTCTCCCCGCGTCCCATCTCTGTGAGATGCCTCCATGCCGCTGGGCACCCAGAACAGCTTGCACATTATACTCCTCTCTCTCCCTCCCAGTACACAGTCCTGCCCCTTCTCCTTCTTGAAACTGTCCACAAACCTTAGAATGTATTCCCCTCCACCTGGTCCATGGTCCAGCCTCCACACTGGCCTCTTTGCATCCATTTTAAGTCCATTTAGTACTACATTACAGTCAGTCCCTGATAGAGACCCGCTCTGACTACACCCACCAGTTCAAACCCTTTCAATGGCTCCCTGGAAAACTCAAAATAAAGTTCATGCCAGTCCTTCAGTGATCAGCTATAACAAGACTCGTCCAGGAAGGTTTTTCTGATGTCCATGCTCAGTCCTCCCTCCCCCACCTACCCACCTTGGGTCCATGTCCCAAGATCCCAGACCCTGGGCAAGAACTCACTCCTGGCAATGGCTGTCAAAGCTGAAGACGCATTTCTGCAGGCTGTCCAAGGTCATGAGGCTGATGTGCTCAAACATGTCCAGACGGGCACTGCCCTCTGAGGCCAGGCACTGCCACTTGGCCTACTCAGAGAAGGGGACAGAGCTGGTGCAGGTCCCTTGCTCCCTTGAGCATCTCTCAAACCCCAACCACCAAGAGGGACCCCCCCCAGAATAAGCCTCTTTATCTTCTCCCAGGGAACCCTCTTCAGGGAGGATGAGCTTATGGTGGGAGCACAGGCTGTTACTATTAAGAGATGAAGACCTAAGATTGGGAGTCAAGAGACCAAGTTTCAAGTTCCAGCTCTGCCTCCTGCGCTCCGTGTGCCATTAGTCAACTCCTTACCCTCCCCTCCATCCCACCTGTCAAATTCTCAGGAACAGTTAAGATGATGTGCTTTGGAGCCACATAATTCACGTTAGAAACTCTGCTCCACCATGCCAAGCTCGCTCACTAGCTGGGTGAACTTGAGTTAGCTCCCAAATCTCTCAGACCCGCAGTTTTATCTTCTACCATGGGGCAGAAATACATAATGTCTCCTTCACAGAGTTTTTAAAATTAAATTACAAAATATATGCTCATATCTTGGAATGGGCACGTGGCATTGTTTCTGGCATATGGTGAGTGCTTAATAAATGTTGGATTTCCTCATCTACTTTGTTACAAATTGTTGGAAACAGATGCTTCGTGCCACAAAGAAAACTCAGCACTGAGACAAAGGATCTCTCAGCAAGCAAATTTTACTTCCTGTAGGAAGGGTAGCCTTGCTAGCCATCTTGCCATGAGAGTACAATGAACAAAGAAAAAGCAGACATATCCATCCCTTATGCATTTGGGGTTGTCCTTACTGCTGTGTCTGATCTCTGTTTGTTGGAGCCAGAGCTTACAATCTAAACTAAAACTCGATTAGCTAATAACTTAAAACTTTTTTAAACAGGTAAGAGGCATAGGCTGCAAGCTGGGACATGGCTATGAGCCCATCCAGCACAGACATCTCGGTTAAAGTACAAGGACATAGAATATACTACGTGCCTGTAAGCATGGCATGTCTAACAGATACATAGGATAGGGCTTAACAAAGAGTTAATAGCAAATTCGTTCTTTAACAAGAAAGTAAACTTTGAAGAGGAACTTTTATTTCCCACATAAATTGATTTTGAAAATATCCCTGTTTTGTAAGAGGTAGTCTTCCATGACTCCTGGGCAACCTTTCTGGACATGTCATGAATGCAAGACACTGATGTCCTTAACACGAAAACTTTCTTACAGTTGTGTTTGCAGAGAATAACTCAGAGATAAGGTAATGACTTCCCCTGGACATGTCACTTTGGCTTGCTATGAAGCAGATTCCCTAAGCTTAATGCCTCTTTTCTGTAATGCAATATACTATGTCAGCAGGCATTTATAGAAGCACACCTGTGTCAGCCCTTAGGATTTGGGAAGCTTGGAGAAAAAACTTCAATCTAATAAGAAACACATGCTGCTCTCTGTGCCATGAGTAGTAAACTATCCTTTGTCTCTGAACCAGGAGTCTCTTGTCTTTCTGGAAGAATTTATGAAACAGTAACAAGCTAACTTATCAATTTGCAAGTTTTTTAAAAAAACCCTAGACACTTCACAAAACCTTCGCCCCAATTCTTCCCTTCCCCCCATATCCACACCCTTTGCAACGTGATTTTTCAGCAACTCCCATGAATAGACAGAGTCTATTTTAGTCGCCGCCTTTGATTCTGTGTTGGACTTTAGGTTTTTGATGTCAAAATGCAATATGGTAAAAATGATGAGGAAATAACTAATGAAGCTGGGCCTTGTCTCACTCCCTGGAAACCTGCTGCACTGTAAACCATGGGGTGCCTTCTAGAAGGAGACAATCACAGAGAGGAATATCCAGGGGTCCCAGCTGAGGCCAAACCCAGACATGTGAGAGAACCCAGTCATGTCCCAGGTAAAACCCAAACATGGGAGAGAATTCAGCCAACACCTGCAAGGCTGCCTACCTGACCAGTACCATGAGCGATCCCTTCTACATCCAGAAGAACCCCCCACCTGTCCTGCAGACTTATTAGCAATCATAAATCCTTACTGTTTTTTTTTTTTTTTTTTTTTTGAGACGGAGTTTCGCTCTTGTTACCCAGGCTGGAGTGCAATGGCGCGATCTCGGCTCACCTGCAACCTCCGCCTCCTGGGTTCAGGCAATTCTCCTGCCTCAGCCTCCTGAGTAGCTGGGATTACAGGCACGTGCCACCATGCCCAGCTAATTTTTTGTATCTTTAGTAGAGATGGGGTTTCACCATGTTGACCGGGATGGTCTCGATCTCTCGACCTCGTGATCCACCCGCCTCAGCCTCCCAAAGTGCTGGGATTACAGGCTTGAGCCACCGCGCCCGGCTAAATCCTTACTGTTTTAAACCACTGCGTTTTCAAGCAGTTTCTTACTCAGTATCAGCTGCTATGCAATCATCGTCATGACCCTCTTCAGTTTACAGGGCTTGGAAGATGGAAACATAGAAACAGATACCTTCTGGTCACCTACTGTGCACCAGGGACGTGACTCCATTACATCACCTCGACCATCTTTTAAGTAGGGATTATTTTCCCCATTTTACAGATGGGGAAACCAAGGCTCAGAGGGGAAGAGCAACGGCCCAATGCCACCCAGCAGAGCCAAAATTCCAGACCACATCTGTCTGTGGTCCCCCCACCCCAAGGCTGCAGCTGGGACCCTGGCTTCAAAGAACTCACATGCATGATGTTCACGCTCTCATTGAAGATCTTCATGTAGGGCTTCAGGATGTTGAAGTGGAAGGCGGGCGTCAGCATCCGGCGGTGGCGGCTCCACTTGTCACCAGAACTCAGCAGGAGCCCGTCCCCTGGCAGGGCAGCCAAGGGTCTTGGGTCAAGGGCAGCGCCCGCCCCTGGGCCCCCAGGTTGTTCCCAACCCTGTTCACCTGCAGATACTCACCCAGCCAGGGCTTCAGGAAGCTGTAGAAGAACTTGTCCTTTGGTGCAATGGCGGCTGACATAAATGAGGACATTCAGGGGCCATGGAGGCAGGAAAAGGAGGGACATTGGGGGTGGGGGAGGCTCCCAGCCAGAGGTTTGCACTTCTCCACCTCCAAGCCCCGCATAGCAGGAAGGGAACCAAGGGCAGAGGAAGAAGGGAGGATGGGGGAGGGGAGGAGAGCAGCCCAGGCTGAGGCAGCGCAGCACAGCAATGATGCCCTAACATGGCACAGAGGAGCTACATCAGGGCTCCAGCACGCCTCGACATGCCTCCTACATGATCCAACGTGTTCTGCAACCCCTGAGCATAGCTCAGCACTCTGCAAAGTGCCTTCACAAGGACCTAGGATGCCCTGTCTGCCCAAGCACACTCTGACATCTTCTGACGAGTCATCTTCTGACACGGACCTGGGACATGGAGCGTGACCCTGACGTGCTCACATATCCTGACATGGTCACAAAACATATCACAATTCCCAACAAGAGACAGCATGCTCTGACATGCACATGAGATGCTCTAACACGACTGTAAGTACGTGCTCCACACACAGGCTCCAGGTAGAAGATAAATACGGTATCTTAAATGTCCCAGACAAAGCCCACATGTGACCCAGATGGTTCCTCAGGCATGACCCAAACATACTATCACACATGCCTCGGAAAAGACTCAAATACTGTCTCAGACAGTTCATGTAGGGACCGTTGAGTCCCAGACCTCACACAAGCTCCAAACACGGCCCAGATGTGACCAGCAGGAGAAAATGACAATGTCAAACAGCATCTCAGACGACAGCTAGACGGCCCTCACATGCTCCAAATGTCCTTGGTTACAGATGAGCCCTGCACGTGACCAGCTCTACAGGACTCCGGTTGTAATGCAACACCAGATGTAACCAGGCATAACATCTTTCAGACGTGACCAGACCCAGGTGTAAGTACACACGTGACAAGACACGGCCATACGGCAGACCTGACCATACAACAGCCATCAGAGAGACACGCCCCAGACATGAGCAAACAGGAACGGAGGCCAGACAGGTGGAAGTCCAGGGGAGACGGAGGCAGTGGCATCTCCACCACGGCCCCTCCTGTCTGCACGTGGGCACGGGACCAGCTGGAGGCAGCACAGAGAGCCCAGCTGTGGGCAGAGCGTGGCCAGCGCGGTGTCTACCTGGAGCAAAGAGCACAGGCTTGATGCAGGTGGGGTGGAAGATGCGGACGATCGCGTGCCAGGGCCCCACCCACCAGCAGCACGCATCCCCAAAGGTGCACGCCAGGCTTTGTGTGTAAACGAGACCTTCCTCCGAGCTGCGAATCTGGAGAAAAACACACAGGACCCAGTTCATGCTCTCCTGGGCTGTCAGAGAGAAGGCTCTGCAGGGAGGAGGTCGAGGCCCTCACCCTGAGAGTTTCCAGCGGCATCTCATCCTCCCCTCGGTGCCGAGCCCCGTGAGCTTCCTGCTCACATCCTCCGTCCTCCATGCAGGACTCTCCAGTCCCTCAGTGACACAGACAGAAAAGGTCTTTCCCCACGTGGAGCCACACACCACGTTCCCTGGGTGTGTTCATCCCATTTTCTAGATGCAGAGACTGAGGCTCTGGATGATAAAGTCACTACCCACAGTCCCAGACCATAAGCCTGAGGCCTGAGGCTGGGTCTGTCTGCATCCATGGCCTGAGTCCTTAGCCACCAAACTTCTTTGTGTCCCCAAAACAGTAGCTCTGGAAGTCTTTCTGCCAAGTCTGGGCCATCAGAGACACAGGGACTGGAGGAAAAATTGGTCCTGTGACCCAGGCCGGGACAAGTAAATCATGGGCCATTTCTGGGAACTCTGGGGGAAATGTGGGCTTTCCCATGGGAACTGAGCTTCTGGGACTCATCCTTGGCATCATGAGGAAAAGGCTGCCATGAAAGGAAAAGTGAAGTGGAGAAAGCGAAAGCCAAGAGAGGAAGACAGATTCCCAGTGACGCTGTATGAGACCTGGATCCAGCCATGCCTGAAGGCCACCTGCCCTGGACTTTAAAGTCAATAGATCCTTCGTTACTTAGACCACACCAGATTGGGTTTTCACCACTTACAATTGAAAGAGACCTCAATAACCAGACACAGCTGGGAACAAGCCCAGAATCATTCAGCATTTAGAGGTCAGACCCATGGTCTCTGTAGGATGCTGCCCATTCCCCTGCTTGGCCTGGCCTGTCCAAAGATGGGAAGCACAGGGGTCAAGGAAAGGGTCCCAAGCTGGGGGAGAGTCTCTTTTTGGAGATTCCTAGGGCCTGCAGCAGGAGAGCAATGAACTTAGAGCAGACAAGCTATAGGATGCAGTAGAAGGAATTGACCCACCAGGGGTGGACATCAAGGAAAGAGTAGTCTGTATCCTCCACCAGCCACAAGCCCTCCTCATTGTTCAGGGCTTTGGGACAGGCAAGGTGATGCTAGGCCTGGCACGGTACCTTGAATACTAACGATGCCCAATGGCATCACCCCACACTTTCCTTTCAAACATTCCTACTCATTGCTCCAGACACAGCTCCAGCAACTCCTCCTCCAGGAAGCCTTCCAGCCTTCCCCAGTGAAGACCTTGTTCTTCCCTGGGCTGACATCCATCTCCCTCTGGCCCTTTCCTGACCCCATGAAGTTGGGAATGTCTCTGTCAAGATCCATCTCCTTAATCTTGGGGGTTCCTCCAGGGCAAGGCCTTGGGTTGAGGTCTCTTGGAACCCCAGGGCAGCCCAGAGCACCAGAACGGGGAGTCAGAGAGCAATGGAGAGAGGAGACGCTGAGATGGGAATTGGTGGATACAAGAAAGAAAGAGGAAGATGGCTGAGAGAGAAGGAAGGGAGAGGCCAGAGTACCTCAGGGGCCACGCAGGCGCTTGGGGATAGAGGGACTTGCAGGCTTCAGACGCACCACAGCACCCACCACCAGGTGTTCCAGGTGGTACCTGAGGCGTTGACGACAGACCGGAGGATGTCCGGGTGGCACAAACTGAGGAGGGGGGTGATGGGGCCCATCCAGACCTTGAAGCCCTGGGGGTAGGTGGCCACCAGCTGAGTCAGGACCCTCATGCCCTCCTCCGTGGGGGGGACCTGTAAGCAAGGCAGGGGCCGTCACCTCCTGTGATGGTTACTCCTAGGTGTCCACTTGACTGGGCTAAAGGATGCCCAGATAGCCAGTCTAACATTATTTCTGGGTGTGTGTGTGTCTGTCTAATCTATTCATTCTATCTATGTAATTTCTCTATCTGGATATCTATCTGCCTACCCATCCATCCATCTTATCTCTACATTGCTCCATCTATTATCTATCTATCATCTATTAATAGCTATCTATCCATCACATATATCTACTCTATCTACCTAATCTATCATCTTATCTACTCTATCAATCTATCTATCCATCCATCCATCCTATCTGTGCATCCATCCATCTACCTATCCTATCATCTATCTCTACCTAATCTATCCATCCTATCTACTCTATCTAGTCTTCCATCCATCCTTCCATCCACTCATCCATCATCCACCCATCCTATCTGTGCATCCATGTATCCATGCATTCATCTATCCTATTGTCAATCTTTCTACCTACCTATCCATCATCCATTCATCCATCCATCTATCCATCCTATCTGTGTATCTATCCTATTCCATCTATCTATCTGTCTGTCTACATTCCTTCTGCTCTATCTCTCTCGGGGCCATCTCCAAGTCCCAGAGGTGCATCCCAGGGCAGAAGGAGAAGACACACTGTCTGCTCACAGAGACCCATTTAACTTGAGAGGAAAGATTTTCTTGTTCTGGGAGTCATTTCAGCCCAGAGGCAGCCATATGAGGAGGTCCTCACAGGGGAGATTTGTGGGGAGCAGTATGGCCTCAGGACATGTCCCTAAGGCTGGTCCCCACATCCCTTCCTGTCCTGGCTGGTCCACACAGGTTCTGGTTCCTCCCATGGAGAGGGTTCTGCACACAGGGTACCTTCCTTCTCAGCGGCCACTAGGGGGCAGAGGTGACTCTAACGGCCCATCAGGACAGTGGCACCCGCCCGGAAGCAGCTTCTGCACCAGGCCCTGTGCTAGTGCGTCCTGTGCACCCTTCCACTTCACCTGATGAATCGACACGTCCATCAGTCCTGCCATTGGCAGTGAGAAGACTGAGACCACATCCCCCAAAGGGGAGAGTAGGTCTAAGCCAGAGGGCAAAGTCCGGGGGAGGAGGAGGGTCAGGGGAGGCTTCTGAAAGGGGAAGTGAGTGGCCAACTTTTATCAGGGATTGGCCAACTTTTATCAGGGAGATAAGAGAAAAAGAAAGGTAAGAGGAAGGTGCCTCTGGATGTGGTGGAGGTGGGAGACAGCCCACACCTCTCCTCTGGCCCAGCTCTACCCTCATCCCAGGAAACAGGCCAGGCAGGGAGAGGACCCTGGACGGTGGAGAATGTGGGAGCGCCAGGGGCTCGCCTCTCTGTGCACCCAAGCCCCTGCCCAGGAGCCCCGCAGAGGGGAACGGATGTAGAAACACAGGCAGGAAAAGGATTCAGTGCAGGCTAGGAGTGGGGGGACAAGGCGGTGAGGAGGGCTTGGGTTGGCACAGCACAGAAATGAGTGAGCACACAGAGGAATGAGTGGGACGCCTCCCCTGCTCCTCTGCGACCTCAGATCCCAGCATCCCCCCACCCCACTCCCTGAGCCCCATTATTACCCCTCAGGAAGTCCATCCACCCTGAGACCCCAGACCCAGCCTGCTGCCACACTCACCATTCCCATGTGTCCCCAAAACCAGTTCCGTTTCGGAGGCTGCGGGAAACACTGGAGCCGGCGGCGGTTGTCGTAGAAGGTGTAGGTCCAGGCCAGGACACGGGCCAGCAGCCAGGAGACCCCGACCAGCAGCAGGAGCAGCCACGGGGACGCTGCCACCGGCCCGAGGCCCAGCCAGGACAGGCTCAGCTGCGACATCCTGCAGGGGGATGGGATGGAGGGTGAGGTCCTGAGGCCCAGGGAAGAGCCGGGGGAGCTCAGGGGACAGCAGAGAGGGGCAGGGACGGGCAGTGCTGGAGGCAGAGCAGGGAGGCTCAGGGATGGGTCAACAGGGACCGAGAAATAAAGTTCAGAAAGGCCCAGCAGCCCAGTGGCCTCCAGTGACCTGGTAAGCACTGAGACTGGGAGAGAGACACAGAGACTGATTAACGTCCAGAAATGCCCAGGCTGAATCAATGGAGGTGGCTAGGGGACTGGTTTCAGTTACCAGGAAACCACCCCTCCTCCAGGCCAGCACCCGGGAGCTGCCTGGGCCTTGGGCAATGCCCCTCTCCATCCCCAGCTAAGCCCCAGAGGCCCGCCACCCCCAGCCTGGCACCTTCTGTCAGCAGCAGCCTGTCTCACACAACCTCCTCTCTCCCTCTGCTGGGAGGTCTTTGACCCTGGCCCTTGATGTGGGGAAGGCTGCAGGAGGCTGGGCTGGGCTGGGCTGGGTTGGGCTGGGCTGGGCCAACCAATCTCCACAGGCTGGGTGCCTCTCCCATGCCTGGGCAGCCAGCCAAACCTGACATCAGGCCAGCTGCGTGCAGAGGAACACGCTCAGGGTCTGGATGAATGGGTAAATAGAGAGAGTAGATATATATGATGGATAGATTATACAGATGGATAGATGGCGATAGATAGATAGACAGACAGATAGATAGATAGACAGGATAAATAGACGGATGAACTTACAGCTAAGATGGACTGATGGATGGGTGGGCAGGCAGATAGACATATAGATAGAGAAATTAGAGAGATAGGAAGAATAGATTAGACAGACACACCCAGAAACAATATTCTATTTCTGCCCAGACATGTGGGATCCTCATTTGTGACATGGGAACTGGGGATTTTGGGTCACCCCAATACTCCAGATGCTACAAGACCAGTGACTTACTCAGTACAAAGCTAGGAACGTGACCATCAGAAACAGGATCAGAGTCACTCTCAGGCAAAAACAAACAAACGAACAAAACCCCCCAAGGATTAAATGTTATTTCCCATTGTCCTGGGGAGAAGTTACTTCAAAGGAGGTCCCAGGGCAGAGAATTCCTCCCCCCCACCACCACCACCATGGGCATACCATCACCCCTGCAGTTTTCTGATTTACACTTTGGCCCATTAAGCATGAACTTTCTTATGCCAGGTTTCTTTCTGATAAGGGAGAAGAGATAAATATCTACCTTTCCTCTCCTCGTCCTGCCTGGTCTCTGTGTTCCAGTTAAACTATAATTTATGTTGAGGATTTACAATGTCTGCCACACCTAGCTGAACCTTCTGCAGAGGTAAATGAAAGTGGAGGTTGACTGGGTGAAAGGAGAGACGTCATAAGCCCACACTTCAGTCTATGAGGTGGATTAAAGGTCTACCTTGCCCAACTCTTGCCTCGCCTGCTCCATGGTCTGAGTCAAAGTTTGGGTTCCAGGACTTTGAGGTTGTGCGAAGCCTTCCAGCCCCATACAGCAGCACAGTCTACAGCTGACTCTGCTGTGAGCTGCCCCGACTTTGCACGGATATTCTCCATTCCTCAAAAGGAAACTGCACCCTTCAAAGCTCACACATTTCTCTTCCTGGCTCAGCACAGGGAGCAAGTTCTCTAGATAGCTTATTATGAAATAAAACAGTGGAGAAGGGAACCCAGGCAGCTGGGCACAAAAGGGAATGGGCAACAAGCCTCCTCTCTAAGCGTGATTTTCTGTGTAAGGTCTTGGACACTCCCTGGACGGCTCCCAGCCATCTGCCTCGTGCCAGGTTTCCAGTTAACATAGAATGAAAAAAATCTCACATCTTCCTCCTAGATGTAACTGTGGTAATTTGAACTTAGGCAGTTGTCCTTGAGAAGCTTCTTAATATCTCATGGCAAGCTCATTCCCCAGTGCTTTTATTTTACTTCACTTGAATTTTTATTTACTTATTTTGTTTTTTTGAGACAGAGTTTCACTCTTGTTGCCCAGGGTGGAGTGCAATAGTGCAATCTCGGCTCACCACAACCTCTGCCCGCCGGGTTCAAGTGATTCTCCCGCCTCAGCCTCCTGAGTAGATGGAATTACAGGCACGCACCACCATGACAAGCTAATTTTGTATTTTTAGTAGGGACGGGATTTCTCCATGTTGGTCTGGCTGGTCTCGAACTCCCAACCTCAGGTGATTCACCCACCTCGGCCTCCCTAAGTGCTGGTATTACAGGCATGAGCCACCACACCTGGCCTTGAATTTTTATATTAAACATTGGATTGAGCAAGAACAGAGAGGAGAATCACAATTATTGAGTAGATGCTACTTCCAAACATTGTAGTTAGATTTTCTCTTGTAATTATTACGGTGCTGGGACTATTCGAGCTTTAAAATCCTTTCTCAAGATCCCAAAGCTATCAGTGGTTCTGCTGGCATTAGAGGTTGATGTGGTTTGGATCTGTGTCCCTGGCCAAATCTCATGTTGAATTGTAATCCCCAGTGCTGGATGTGGCGCCTGGTGAGAGGTGTTTGGATCATGGGGGCGGATCTCTTATGGCTTGCTGCAGTCTTCATGTTAGTGAGTTCCTACAAGATCTGGTTATTTTAAAGTGTGGGGCACCTGCCCCCTTCTCTCTTGCTCCTGCTTTTGCCATGCAATGTGCCTACTCCTGCTTTGCCTTCTAACATGAGTGAAAGCTCCCTGAGGCCTCCCCAGAGCCAGATGCCACTATGCTTCCTGTACAGCCTGCGGAACCGTGATCCAGTTAAACCTCTTTTTTTTTTTTTTTGTAAATTTCCCAGTTTCAGGTATTCGGGTTTTGTTTTGTTTTTTGTTTTTTTTGTACAGACGAGGTCTTGCTTTGTTGCCCAATGCTGGTCCTAAACTCCAGGCCTCAAGCAATTCTCCCACCTTGGCCTCCCAAAATGCTGGGATTACAGGCATGAGCCACCATACCCAGCCAGGTATTTCTTTACAGCAACACAAGACTGGCTGAATATAGAAGGATATTGCCACTGATTTAAAACTAGTTTTCTAGGCTGGGCGTGGTGACTGACACCTGTAATCCCAGCACTTTGGGAGGCCAAGGCAGGCAGATCACCTGAGGTCAGGGGTTGGAGACCAGCCTGACCAGCATGGAGAAACCTCATCTCTACTAAAAATACAAAAAAAGTAGCCACACGTAGTGGTGCATGCCTGTAATCCCAGCTACTCGGGAGCCTGAGGCAGGAGAATCGCTTGAAACCAGGAGGTGGAGATTACAGTGAGCCAAGATCGCGCCACTGCACTCCAGACTGGAGGAACAAGATCAAAACTCCACCTCAAAAAAAAAACAAAAAAAAAACTAGTTTTTTTTCTTGTATGTCACTCTGCTTGATCAACCTTAAACAGTCTTTTAAAATAACTTGTAAGATTCACCTAACTGCACTTTTCATATTGTCCTTCAATCCTTGTACTTACTGCATATACATGTTTTATGCTTATCATATATGTATTTAAATAATGCATATTTCCAAAACAGAAAGCCAAGACCCCAATTGGTTCACTGATAAATTCGACCAAACATTTAAGGAAGAAATTATACCAATTTTCTTCTGTGTTTTTTGAAAGACAGAAGCAGAGGGAATATTCCCTAACTCATTTTATGAGGCCAGCATCACCCTAATGTCAAATACAGACAGACATCACCAGAAATAAAAGAAAAGAGAAAGAAGAAAAGAAAAGAAGAAAAGAAGAAATGAAGAAACAAAAAACTATACAGATGATTAATAGTGCTCACAAACCTAGATGCAAAGGAGTTGCAATCCTAGTCTCTGAAAAAATGGACTTTAAACCAACAAAGATCAAAAGAGACTAAGAAGGGCATTATTAAATAATGGCAAAAGGATCAATGCATCAAGAGAACTAATGATCCTAAATATATATGCACCCAATACAGGAGCACCCAGCTACATAAAGTTCTTAACAACCTACAAAGAGACTTAGACTCCCACACAATAATAGTGGAAGACTTTAACACTCCACTGTCAATATTAGACAGATCAACAAGACAGAAAATTAACAAGGATATCCAGAACTTGAACTCAGATCTGGACCAAGCAAACCTAATAGACATCTACAGAACTCTCCACCCCAAATCCACAGAATATACATTCTTCTCAGCACCACATCACACCTACTCTAAAATTGACCACATAATTGGAAGTAAATCACTCCTCAGCAAATGCAAAAGAATAGAAATCGTAACAGTCTCTCAGATCACAGTACAATCAAATTAGAACTCAGAATTAAGACACTAACTCAGAACCACACAACTTCATGGAAACTGAACAACTGGCTCCAAATGTCGACTGGATAAACAATGAAATGAAGGCAGAAATAGAGATGTTCTTCAAAACCAACAAGAACAAAGACACAATGTACCAGAATCTCTGGGACACATTTAAAGCAGTGTCCAGAGAGAAATTTATAGCAATAAGTGCCCACCAGAGAAGCAAAGAAAGATTTAAAATCGATACCCTATCATCAAAATTGAAAGAGCTAGGGGAGCAAGATCAAAAAAACTCAAAAAACTAGCAGAAAACAAGAAATAACTAAGATCATAGCAGAACTGAAGGAGATAGAGACACAAAAAATCCTTCAAAAAATCAATAAATCCAGGAGCTGTTTTTTTTTTTTAAAGATCAACAAAATAGACCATTAGCCAGATTAATAAAAAAAGAAAAGGGAGAACAATCAAATAGATGCAACAAAAAACAATAAAGGGGATATCACCACTGACTCCACAGAAATATAAACTACTATCAGAGATTACTACAGACAACTCTATGCACAAAAAACTAGTAAACCTGGAAGAAATGGGTAAATTCCTGGACACTTGCACCCTCCCAAGCCTAAACCAGAAAGTAGTTGAAACCTTGAACAGACCAAAAACAAGAGCTGAAGTTGAGGCAGCAATTAACAGCCTACCAACCAAAAAAAGTCCGGATCCCCCCAGACAGGTTCACAGCTGAATTCTACCAGACGTATAAAGAGGAGCTTGTACCATTCCTTCTGAAACTATTTCGAACAATACAAAAAGAAGGAATCCTTCCCAAATCATTTTTATGAGACCAACACCATCCTGATACCAAAACCCAGCAGAGACTTAACAAAAAAAGAAAACTTCAAGCCAACATCCACTGATGAACATAGATGCAAAACTCTTCAATAAAATACTGGCAAACCCAGTGCAATAGCACATCGACAAGCTTATCCATCACAATCAAGTAGGCTTCTTTCCAAACATGCAAGGCTGGTTCAACATACACAAGTCTATAAATGTAATCTACCACATAAACAGAGCCAAAGACAAAAACACATGATTAGCTCAGAAGATGCAGAGAAGGCCTTCAACAAAATTCAACAACCCTTTATGCTAAAAACTCTCAATCAACTAGGTATCAAAGGAACATAGCTCAAAATAATAAAAG